GGTGATTGGTGGTGAAGCTGATGGGGCTGTCTCTTATACACATCTAGATGTGTATAAGAGACGGGTGCTGTGGCAGGAGGCTGGGTGCTGTGGCAGGAGGCAGGGTGCTGTGGCAGGAGGGTATGTGAAGCGACGTACCGACATGTCAGGCATGGCCGCCATAGCTCAGTGGCAGAGCACTAGTCTCGTAAACTAGGGGCCGAGAGTTCGATTCTCTCTGGCGGCAGATGATTTTAATTACTGAAGCAAACTTATATGAATGAACATTATTGCAAGTCTCTGTAGACTTTCAAAGCCAAAAGGGGGCAAGACATAAAAAAAAGTTATAAATGGATTCTCATTTGACTGTGTATCTCAGTCTTGTATGAAAATACAAAGTTGCTATCATTTCAACGCTCTTGTATGACAATACACGGTCGAAATCATTTTAATTAAAACATTAAGTTTTCCAGTGATATAAATAAGGTGCCTTTTCAAATTTAGATATTTTAAGAGGCCCTTTGTGGGGGCGCTCAGGTGCCATCATTATGGGCTGAATGAACCGATACTGATACAACTATGAGATAAAGATCATTATATATATCAACAATGATGCAACAATGATGCATAGAATAAAGAGAATACAGTAACAATGATATTCGGAGAAATGAGATGGCGAAATATTGACTGGACCTAGAAACAATAAACCAACCTTCGATTCGAGTAATTTAGATTGTGAAAAATTCAGCCTAGGAGACAAGTTATTTAAATAAGTGTAAGTAAGGAATTTATGTGAGGTATTCAGCACTCGGCTTCAATATTCACATATATTCAGCGGATGCTTCCGTGCAAGGATACCCTCACACCACGAGCCACTCACACAAGCGCTGTCGTCTCCTCGAACTTGTTTAGGCATTTCTGGGAATAGTTTTTAGTTAATATTGAAGGCAGTAACTCAGCGCATAGTTGGAAAAAATATTCAGATTGTAGCTGGAACTCTAAATTATAAAAGTAACTTCAAATCCTTCAATTAACAGATGAAAACATCTGAAATCAATTAGTGAAAACTTGATATAAAATACCGATTACGTGCAACCTTAGCTGTTTATATGTTCTGTACAGGTTACGTAATGTACGGAGAACACGAGAACAAATTATAGCTGGACTCGTAACGTGGTGTAATAAACTACACAGTCTGGTTTGCCGCATCAGCTAAGACTTAGCAGCTCGAAAAAAACGTATCCATTATATGCATTGCGACTAATTGTAAACATGTGAGTAATTTTCACAGCTTCAAAAAGTTCTCAAATTTCAAAGTTTTTGTAAATATAATGTTCGAATTGATTGCCTCATGAACACAAAATGTGAAAGTACGAATCTTTAGACAGAAAAAATTTCATCTGCACTGTGTTCGGGTAACAAGTGCTCGCCAGTGGCAGGTGGGCGTGCAAAAACTGGAGCAAAATGTTGTAGGTAATACGCTTATTTTCTCTCGCTCAGCATTAACATGTAACAATGTAACATTGATTAATTTAATTAATGTTAAAAGTGACGGGCTTGTCCGGGAATTGAACCCGGGACCTCTCGCACCCGAAGCGAGAATCATACCCCTAGACCAACAAGCCGCTGCATAACCTGGCACTCTCGTTACACAAGGAGCCCGCGCTTCTTTGCTACACCATAACAATGGTGACCTCTACCACACTATTCTAATGGTGACCTTTGCCCTCACCATTCTAATGGTGACCTCTGCCCTCACCATTCTAATGGTGGCCTCTGTCCTCACCATTCTAATGGTGACCTCTGCCCTCACCATTCTAATGGTGACCTAGGCCCTCACCATTCTAATGGTGATCTCTGCCCACACTATTCTAATGGTGACCTCTGCCCTCACCATTATAATGGTGACCTCTATCCACATTCTTCTAATGGTGACCTCTGCCCACACTATTCTAATGGTGATCTCTGCCCTCACCATTCTAATATAACAATGGTGACCTCTACCACACTATTCTAATGGTGACCTCTGCCCTCACCATTCTAATGGTGATCTCTGCCCTCACCATTCTAATGGTGATCTCTGCCCTCACCATTCTAATGGTGACCTCTGCCTTCACCATTCTAATGGTGACCTCTATCCACATTCTTCTAATGATGACCTCTATCCACATTCTTCTAATGGTGACCTCAACCCTCACCATTCTAATGGTGATCATCTCTGCCCTCGCCATTCTAATGGTGACCTCAACCCTCACCATTCTAATGGTGAGGGTTACCATTCTAATGGTAACCTTTGTCATTATCAACGATCTTGTTCAGCATTGTACACAAATAAAAATAAGACTATTGCAATCTGTCTCTACATTTTACATTCACACGAGCCCATAGCAATATTATTCAATATTTCATATGCCTATACGAGTGCATCGTAAGACAACATGATATAACACGAGACATAATTCGTGTCTAACAATAAATGATATAGACGGGGCATTGGTACCAGACTCATCGGAGGTACAGCGCTATTTACGTTCAAAACGGTAAGTGGTCAAGCAATATATTAAAACCAATTCGACATTCTGCACATAAATGGCCAAGAGGTTAACTGTACCAGACAGAATAGATTTTCACGCTTCACTATTAAGTGAACAAATGTAAAAATGAAGAGATCACATAAAAGCATAAGTGACCCGAGTTTATTTGTTCAAAAATGTTGAATGAATATAAATATTCGGATTCTTTGAAAGTTTGTCCGTAGAAGTTCGCTTATTTAACCATAATAGACTTAAAGGACAACATACATCCAATATCAGTTTTGAAAAAGATCTAATCAAAAAGCCAGTTTTTAGGTTACCTGTGAATTAAGTCATGAAAATGAAATGAATTGGCAGCAGGCCACGCTCGGCCTATTTCTCAGCGCCGACGCTAAATTACTATTATATAGGTACTTACTATTCGTGGCCAAGCGACCGGTGACGCTAACTTACTATTATATACTTACTATTTGTGGCCAAGCGCAGTGTGCTGCCACTCTATCAAGTCTCGGCGTCGACAAAGAGTCATCGGCTCGTTGGTCTAGGGGTATGATTCTCGCTTAGGGTGCGAGAGGTCCCGGGTTCAAATCCCGGACGAGCCCAAAACTTTTCCTTGTGTGATCCTGCGAAAATTAATAAACTTATATAACTCTATTAAAACGTGACTAAATACTACATTGCAAAGGGGAGGGTACCCCTCTTTTTTGCAGATTTTTCAAATTTTATTCATTTAAGTGGATTTAGAAGCTGGACAAAAAAAGTTAGGATTCAAAATATTTTTAATTTTGTGCGACTGCTTGTACGATGAAAAAAATTACATGAGGGGAAAATCCCTCATGATTATATCGTGCGCGACGACGCGGCATTACATCGTTAGCCCAAATATCGGCACCAACATAACAACGATACAGGAAACACTCGTGCAAATCAGGCCTTTAAGTGATATTTTCATGTTTCAACCAATCAACATATGATTATGGACCAATTCCAGCATCGTTTCTTTGAGTCTGGGCAGAGTCATCGACATTTATTGCAATGGATCACTTAGCTTGTCTTAATGTTTCAAATATTGCATTTTTTGGGAATAAAATTGCAATAAAACTAGACAAATCGTCTGTAAGCCTTTCCGAGAAGTGTCGTTCACTTTAATCCAAGAATCGAGGTTTGAAATACCATTCCGCTGGTCCAGTTTGAATTTCGTAGTCGGTTACCATACGTGTACATGAAGGCTATCCATGGTTGAATTATGTATTAATTCAACCATGCAGGCTATATATCTAGTCNCTCCGACGTTGAAAGCCAATAAAAATAAATTTTATTTGTTAAGGGCAGAATGGCACAATATTGTTATAAGCTTAGATCAATTATTGTTTAAGTACCACCAAGCATCTTCTTCATTTAATAAACAGAATTAATTGTCAATGCCAAGATGAAGCTTGATATGCTGCCTAATATGATATGCCAACTGATATATACATAGTTTTATAAAGTCTCGACTACGAGTCAAATATAAATGCCTGAGGTGAAGAACAGTGAATGCAAAACTGTTTCCAGAATAAATTAAAACATAAGAGAGCGTCAATAATTGTGACAATTAGTTCGAATTAAAACGTCCGTTTATATCGTCTCCAAATAGGAGGCGTATTACATGACTATGAACTGTGCACAATGGTAGTAATTCACCAAGTATTCATCAAATCTGCCAAGAACACATTAATTTAGATATGCCAATAAAATGTACACAGTAAAATGATATTGTAACAGGATGAATTAATGGGCATTAATATGGAAATAATAATATGATAGCATAACATGATGAATTAAGTTTAGTTCGTAAGAGCAGTCTTTTACAACATTGCTATGACCAACCCAGACTTAATCCACACAAATCACTTGATCAGATCGCGGGACTTGGGTTTTTCTATATCTACAAATTAAACACTCGGGTATCAGCCTCCGTGGCGCAATTGGTTAGCGCGTTCGGCTGTTAACCGAAAGGTTGGTGGTTCGAGCCCACCCGGGGGCGTTGATTTTGAAAATGAATTGGGAAATCACATGCATCGTCATTTATCTATTTTACAAAATCTGATATCTCGAGAAAAAATTTCAATAGCAAATTTTTTTATAGCAGTGGGGGATATGTGTCTTTCCATTCAATGTAGTGACTTGTGATAGCAGACGGTAGCAGTTACATACAGATATGATTTGATTATATGAAACTAAAGATATTGCAGCTACCAGAGTGAATATTATATTATGGTTCGAAGTTTCAATTTGCCAGTATTCACAAAGTTCAACAATATCATCCACCCATCACTCTGAAGTGCTGCACTTAATCGACCAACGCTCATCGTCTTTAATATTTGTGCAGCGTAGGAGCCATCACCGCAAATATGGAACAAAATAGAAGTACCTGCAAAAAGATTCAACACTTGGATTTGCCTTCAGGGAGAATCGAACTCCCGACCTCTGGTTTACTAGACCAGCGCTCTAACCCCTGAGCTATGAAGGCTGTTGCTTCAATACTTTCGCGTAATTGTGCTCACTCTCCAGCATCAGCACCCAGAACTACCTGCACAAATGATTAACATTATTGAATATATACAAGGAAGTGTCCTGTAGTGACAATACATGGAAAATGAGGGCATC